GTTATAACATAGTAACAAGTAAGGTTACAAAAAGTGTTCACTGTCTAAGGTTGCTCTAGTTATCTACTATCTTAAAAAAAGTAGATATAGAATAATACTATTTAAATTCCTAATATTAACATTACAACATACTTAATTCTAATAATATTTAAACCAAGTACTTTAACAGACAACCTTCAACAAATTGTCAACTACAATGCATAACTATCAGAACTTTATTTTTATACAGATGGCTCTGTTATCAATCTGGGTATCTTATAATGCTCCATGGGCATCAGATGGGCCCAAATTTTAAACAACAATATACTGCATACTCTCCAAGCCCAAATAAGATACTAGTTTTGCTCATTTAAAGCTAAGCTTACTGCTATCTTAATAGCTCTTATTATTGCTTCTAGAAATTATACTATACACATATATACTGATTCATAGTCTGTAATCTCTAAATATCACAGCCTTTCAAACTTAACTCATACTCTACTTTATATACATATACTATATTTTTCATTATAGAATACACTTATTAACTTTGTCAAATCATACAATATACATATTATTTTTTACAAAGTTACTGCTCATCAGAACAATCAGTACAATAATCTTGCAAACCAACTTGTACACAATCATTACAATCTGTCATATTTTACCTTTATGCCTTACAATATTTACAATCATGCATATACTTTAAATTTTAAAAACTTCATTTTAGAATTACCTATCTGTCACAGTATCTATATAATATGTTATGCACATATTTATGCATTATATATTACACAAAACTGCTTTCAAAAATGGCACAATATCTTTAACTAAGTTAATTTGCAAACTACCTAACTATACATCAACAATAATCAAAAAATCTTAAACTTTATACACAACTTTCAGTCCTTTACTCTTAAATCCTTTAGAATCAAAATTCTACTAGATTATCTTCCTACTTCATACATTTTACACAAATGATATCACTTACACTCACCTATCTGTCACTAATGTCATTAAATCAGTTCTTATCTTCACTAGACAATCTGTTCATCTAATCAATTACTATATAGCCTTATAGATATTTCATTACAACATACTTTAAATACTAAAACACTCAACATTACTTCAAATACTATAACAAATTTATACAACCAAATTAAGCTGTTGAGTAGTATGACTATTTATAGCATACCAGATTTACCTTCAATCTTTTCAACTCTAATGGGTCTAATACCAAATGAACTTATTGACATTATTGCAAATCTGTTATCTAAAAAGTAGTTACAAACTTGTTAACAAGTTTTTACTTCATTTTAACTAACAAATTTATTACAAAATCTGGATCCTATATTGTATTTTAAGATTTATAGCTCAAACTCCTAAATATAACACACCTTCAAATGCTGTCTTACTTTTATTACATTCTCTCTAACTCAATTCTATTAGTTCAAAAATAAACTCCTAGTATATCCAATGAATTAAATATTAAACTAATCCCCTATACATAATTACTAACACTCAAATCTAGATGAGCCTTGGCCACTTTGGTTGGTTTAGATTACAGATAAATTAGTCTGAGCTTCTATTTTTTCTATAATATTTTAAAAGCTGAATTGTACTTAATATAAAATCTCAATTAAATATTCAATAAAGAAAGAGACATGGTCTCATCATTAATATTAAAATAATAATAATAATAATAATAATTAATATTTGTAAAATCTAAATTTTTCTATGCGGAAAACCAAGCAAATGACAGTCAGACTCAATGTACAGAGCAGACTATAGAAATCTTAACAGCTGTGAGAGCCAAGCTTTAAACAGTGAGCACCTTAGTAGAAGACAAATACTCATTTTTAGAGACCACTCTATCACATAACTCTGAGAATTACAATACAAATTTTAAAAAAACTAATTACAAATCCTCACATATATACAACTCTGAAGTCTATTACAACAAATTTCTTGCACACTTTAATCTACCTCTAATCTCACAAGACCAAACTATTAGTTCTTTTCTTAAACATCTTCAACAACATAATCTTACACATTATGCTATCTTTTCTATTAATACCAACATTAGCGAAGCCTATATCTATTTACCCTCCAAACTGCACTTATTATCAGAACATACTTTTATTAATTAAAAGCTCCTACACCAGTATCTTGACACCCCTCTTAAGTCTCAAACACATGAAACACTTAATCCTAACATTGCTACCTACAATATTCAAGATTTCAACAATATAGAAAAGAAACTTCTAGTAGAAGAATATTGTTTTCAAAACAATTTACAAATAATGTGTCTAACCGAAACCAAAATAGCAGAAACTAAAAACAAAAAATTCTACAACAACCAACATTTTAC